AGAAATGGCCAACAAACACGCTTTGCTTTAGGTTAAAAGAAAGATTTTATAATAAAGATTGCAAGATTTGGGATGATTTCTTTTCTTATGTTTGCATGACATTTTCTGTTTATCACTTTAAGGTCAAATTTTTAAGGCTGTGTTTCTTTTCTTATTTGTTTTATTATTTAATATGAGTTCCGGGTGCGGGTTATTGTAATTTAAACTTTAAATTATAGTATCTTAATTTTTATATAAATTATAAATATTAAATGAGTTTAAAATGTTTTATATGGCTTTTCACATGAAGAATGTGTTTTTTTTTTTTTTTAATCATTGGAGGTGTCTAAGCTAGTTTGCGAGCTCCTCAACTAATCCTCTGGAGTCTTAGAACTGTCCAACGACCACTCTTATTAGTGCATGGGGGACTCGAACTCATGAACTCATTGAACATTCTTTTGTTCTTTTACCATCAAATCACCCAATAGTAGTTCACATGAATAATGTATTATTTGAATTAAATAAAATGTGGGCATGAAAAGTCTATTACAATGACTTGTTTTATATTAATAATTAAGTTTGTGTTTGATAAAGTATGGTGAACAATTTAAGCAGATTAATTTTTTTTGGTTTGGTCAAAAGATTTGGCAATTTTTTAGTCTATAAGAAACACTTTTTGAATTTCCTTAATTAAATTTTGATCGAGTAAAAGAAACAGGGAAAATGATTGTAGTTGAAGAAGGAAATGTTTGATCAGACGGCGCATGTGCGACCCAGTAAAATCCAGTGGTAAAAAACTGTGAGGCGTATGACAAATGGAGTAAGCAACACGTGGTGGAGAAGAGAGTGTGGGGCCAAAACTCAAGTGTGAAAAAATTGAAACAAATAGGACCCCATAATTTTCTACTTTGAACAACGGACACCCCCCTCGATGTGGACAGATTCGCAAAAATTGAAGATTTAGAGCAGAAGGGAAGTGAGCCCCACAAAAGATTTATATTTCATAATGGTCCCACAAAGATTTCAAATTTTGCTGAGTGGGTCCCTACCTATTTATTTCATGTCCCCTTCACAATTATTACAATTGCAAGAAGGAGCAAGAGCAAAAAGTTGATTCCGTTCCTTGGTCTTCTTCATCTTCTATTTCCCTCTGTTCTGTGTCTGTGCATGTTTGTGGTCCTTTTTTTGTAATTTCGCCTTTTCAATTCCTCTAAATTTTCATTATTATGTTTCCTTTTATTTGTTTACCCAAAACCAACAAGGCCCATCTTTTTATATATTATTTCAGATTTGACTCATAAAAAATTACGTCTTATTTCTTATCTTATTGCGAAATAAATCAACACTGCTTTTTGGAAACACTTTTGAAAACTATAGCATTGTATTTCAGTTATAATATCTTTACACATGATATGGTCCAAGAGAAGTGCATATAATACGTTGATTGATGATAAATTTAGTAAAAAAATCTTTAAGAGGAGATTTAGGGATCATAATTTTTGGAGGGAGCATGACTAAACAAAAGCATAATTTGTTCTTGTACAACAAGGAGATTCTGATGTTGATATAAAGCGGGTCATGCACGGCATTTAATCAAATTCATGTGCCCTTTTTTTTTTATTATTATATTATAAGTTTATAACTACCCTAACTAATGTCACGAATTCCGTTACATCCATCTTCTTGTTTTAATTAACACCCTAATCCACATTCCTACCTAATTAACCACTTTTTCCATCACTCTCTCAACTCTTAAAGCACTTGTCTCTTTTCTTTTTCTTTTTCTTTTTCTTTTTAATTTTTCCGCCATCATTTTCCCTAAAGCACCTTAACGTTGCATTACACATCAATTCTATAAAGGATTTGTGTTGCTACTTTGTAAGCAACACTAATCATAACATACCATTTCATTAAATTTATATTTCCTTAATTTTAGTTTTGCTACTATGTTTCGTATTTGTTATATATATATATATGTATATGTATATATATACATACCATGCGCATTGATTTGTGGGTTTTTTTTTTAATGATCAGGAGTGTTTGGGTCAGTTTGCGCATACCTCAACTAATCATTCGAGGCCCTGAAGTGAATGATCTGGTAAATCCTCTTAGTGGTCACTTATATTACTCTAGTAATGCCTGAGAAAACTCCAACTCAATAATTCATGTTAGACCCTTTTACTCTTTTACTATCAAGCCACCTAGTGGTGATTTCAAGTTCAATGTTTCAGTAAGTCACAAATATAGTAAGTTGCCATAAGGTGATTCGAATCTAGAAGATCAATGAAAGGAGCAAACGTTTTTTACCGTTAGACAAAACCCTTGGGGTTTATTGATTTGTAGTATTACTCATGTGACCGATAGTGCTATATATTATTTTAACACATAAATAACGTAATACACCTTAACACCAATTAGTGTGAATGAAAGACTTAGAAGAAGCTTTCAATCAAGTCTTGATTTTATATTGACCAAAGAGGGAAGCTAAATTGTAGGTGAAAATGGGCCAAGTGTAGCTAAGATTGATTGTGTAAAAGCAAAGACTAAAAGAGTGGTGGAGCCATGAGTTAGATCTCTTGAAATCTCATTTGATTTTGGGAGAGACCTGACCTGATTAAGGTAGAAGAATGGGTCAATAAAATCCTGATTTTTGTGTAAACAAAAGACCCCACGTTACCTCTCCCCAAGTCAAACTAACTAAAAACAGTTAAACTTTTTCTTTATACGAATCAATAGCCATAATAAATCTTAATTAATTAAGGAAAAAAAAATAAAAAAGGAAGAAATGGCCAACAAACACGCTTTGCTTTAGGTTAAAAGAAAGATTTTATAATAAAGATTGCAAGATTTGGGATGATTTCTTTTCTTATGTTTGCATGACATTTTCTGTTTATCACTTTAAGGTCAAATTTTTAAGGCTGTGTTTCTTTTCTTATTTGTTTTATTATTTAATATGAGTTCCGGGTGCGGGTTATTGTAATTTAAACTTTAAATTATAGTATCTTAATTTATATATAAATTATAAATATTAAATGAGTTTAAAATGTTTTATATGGCTTTTCACATGAAGAATGTGTTTTTTTTTTTTTTTTCATTGGGGTGTCTAAGCTAGTTTGCGAGCTCCTCAACTAATCCTCTGGAGTCTTAGAACTGTCCAACGACCACTCTTATTAGTGCATGGGGGACTCGAACTCATGAACTCATTGAACATTCTTTTGTTCTTTTACCATCAAATCACCCAATAGTAGTTCACATGAATAATGTATTATTTGAATTAAATAAAATGTGGGCATGAAAAGACTATTACAATGACTTGTTTTATATTAATATTAAGTTTGTGTTTGATAAGTTTGATAAAGTATGGAGCAATTTAAGCAGTTAATTTTTTTGGTTTGGTCAAAAGATTTGGCAATTTTTTAGTCTATAAGAAACACTTTTTGAATTTCCTTAATAAATTTTGATTGAGAAAGAGGGAAAATGGTTGTAGTTGAAGAAGGAAATGTTTGATCAGACGGCGCATGTGCGCAAGTAAAATCCAGTGGTAAAAAACTGTGAGGCGATGACAAATGGAGTAAGCAACACGTGGTGGAGAAGAGAGTGTGGGCCAAAACTCAAGTGTAAAAATTGAAACAAATAGGACCCCATAATTTTCTACTTTGAACAACGGACACCCCCCGATGACAGATTCGCAAAATTGAAGATTAGCAGAAGGGAATGAGCCACAAAAGATTTATATTTCATAATGGTCCCCAAAGATTTCAAATTTTGCTGATGTTCCCTACTATTTATTTCATGTCCCTTCACAATTATTACAATTGCAAGAAGGAGCAAGAGCAAAAGTTGATTCCTTCCTTGGTCTTCTTCATCTTCTATTTCCTCTGTTCTGTGTCTGTGCATGTTTGTGGTCCTTTTTTTGTAATTTCGCCTTTTCAATTCCTCTAAATTTTCATTATATGTTTCCTTTTATTGTTTACCCAAAACCAACAAGGCCCATCTTTTTATATTTATTCAGATTTGACTCATAAAAAATTACGTCTTATTCTTATTTATTGCGAAATAAATCAACACTGCTTTTTGAAACACTTTTGAAAACTATAGCATTGTATTTCAGTTATAATATCTTTACACATGAGTTAAAAAAAAAAAAAAAAAAATACTACAATTGGAAAGTGATTAAAGTGAGTAAGCAAATGCGACAAATTAAGATTGTCTAACGGTTAAAGATGTTGTTTTTTCATTGACTTTTTTTTTATTCAACTTAAAATCATCTACTATATACTTCCTCTGTTTTTTTTTAAATATTGTTTTAAGGGGTAATTTTTTCCAAATTAAATGTTCTTGTCTTGTCTATATAATAGGAGAGAGAAAATGTATATTATATTATATATAATTATTTAAATAATTCAATGTGTGCAGCGGAAAAGTTTTTCCACCTGTAAAATCAGAGGAAAAAATCAGGTGGGAGTAGTATATTAAAAAGTGTGCAATTGGCTAAAAGTCATTTATTGGAAACGGAGGGAGTATGATTTACTTAGTTTTTTCGTTTGTAAGTATTCAATGGATCTCAATGATTATTGATGTATCACAAATTGGTCTAGGTACATAATTATAAAAAAAAAAAAAAAAAAGTTGAGAAATTAAGTAGACGCATTAAAGTTAACGCGTATAAGACTAATAGGAAAGGGAAATTGTGTGGGGGACTTAATTGATTAAGTGATAATAGTAGTTTAATTAGTTAAACACCTTATTTTATATAGAAATGAGAATAAATAAATAAAACTAATGATACCAATGGGAACAAAGATCTCCGGATTTTCCTTAGTAATCAAACAAAATCCAATCAAAAGGACACCGTAAAGATAGAGAAATATGAGTGGTTGTACCAACAAGGTATGGAGAATCTAGTGAGAGATTTTGGCAACACAAAAAACCATATTTACTTCCCATTTTTTTTTTTTTTTTTTTTTCTTGCTGCTAAAAAACACTTCCTTCTCTCTCACCTACCTCATAATAAGAACCTACGAAACAAGCCACACCTCACCACTCTCTTCATATTCATTCATTCATTCATTCCATAAATCATACCCACCAACGCACGCTACCTTCTCTCTTTTTTACCTCTTCTTCTCTTTATATAATCAAACACTCTGAATTTTTTTAACACATAATTCATTTGTTTAATGGAGTTGAAATCAGAAACTGTTGAGGTTGAAGATACCCAGAAAGTTATACTACTTGAAGAAGAACAACCGCAACATGAAGAAGAAGAAGAGGAGAAACAGCAACAAGAATTGCAGGAAAGTTTTCATGTTTTGGCAGTTGATGATAGTGTCATTGACAGGAAGCTTTTGGAGAAGCTCCTTAAAATTTCTTCCTATCAAGGTAATAATCTATATATTAACATGGGGATTGATTATTAAAATTAATATTGACTCTTATATGCATTTTTTATGTTTTGTTCTTGTTGTTGTAGTGACTTGTGTGGACTCTGGAGATAAAGCCTTGGAATTTCTAGGTCTGATTGATAAGCTAGACACACCTACTGATTCTACTTCTTCTTCATCTCCTCCTCAGTCATTACAACAAGAGGTAAAATCTCTTCTCTATTGTTCATTTTTTATTTCTCAACTTTTCCCTCGTTGATCCACTTAGGGAACTGTCAACATAAATATATTCTTCTTTTTTAGAATACTCTTGAGTACTGGGTATTCAAGAGTTTAGTTTCAACTTGTGTCAGGAAGGAGTTATTATACAAGGGAAAGGGATACTGCTACTCATAATGATTGAGAAAATTAGGCAAAATTTTGGTTTTAATTAACATAATGGATGATTGGTTTGCTCTATATTCAATGTAGAAATTAGTTCCTTGTTTTTCTCATTCATCACTGACATATTAATCAGTCGATGCTAGAAATATTATTCTATGAAGTTTTAAACAGTTATCAAATGTGAAAACATGAAAAGGCAGGCAAAGGTAAAGTAGCTAGAAAGCCTTTTGATCTACTGTAATTAATTAGCCAATTAGCCTGCTTTTATAGTAATATAATCTGATACAAATTATCCAGAATAAAAAAGGGACCACAGAAATGCAGAAATTTAGCTGATATGGTTAAGGATATCTGTCTGTCTGTCGACATTAACAATATACACGAAGGGGGGACAGGGCCAAACCTTGGAGATGCAATGCCATTTTTTGCTTCTCAATTTCTGTGCCAATTCAATATTTTGCCTGTGGACCTCTCATTGATTAATTGCATGTTCCATAATCTGTTAGGTTTAGCCTTCAATCTTTTAACGTCCCACATTAATGAGAATCAAGCCAAAAAAAACTGTTTTCACTTCAATGTCCCTTGCCTACATGAGTACATTCATTTTACTCTTTATTCTATGATTAAATGGAAAAAAAATAATAACATTATGTTTATGATCAAATATTGCAGGGATCAAAGGTCAACTTAATCATGACTGACTTCTGTATGCCCGGAATGAGCGGCTATGATTTACTTAAACGAGTCAAGGTGAAGTCCATGATCTTATATTCCGTACTCCTTTCATCACTTAATCTAATTTAAAGCTTAAAATGTTTGAACTATTTGTGGAAACAACATGATATCTATTAGTTGGTTAAGAGATAGCTGATTTTTTTTTTTTTTCTATATATATAGAAATTTGGTAGGATGCTTCTCTGATAAGCTTGAAAACGTCTGAATTTTATAATTGTTGCTTCAAAATGACACAAAAAAGTTGGTTAGAAAATAGAATTCTTTACTTTAGTTTATTATTTGTTTAATATTCTTAAGTTTTGCTTAAACTTGCAGGGATCTTCGTGGAAAGATGTACCAGTTGTGGTCATGTCATCAGAAAATGTACCTTCGAGAATCAGCATGTAAGTTGTTTCTTTAATTGTCTTCAACTTTCTCCAAATAAAAATGACAGTAAGAAATTTAAACCGGATTAAAACAAAATGAAACCCGTGATTGAAAGAGATAAAAATTTAAGACTTGAGTGAGGTGACATTATGTTTTATTTCGAATCGACAGGTGCCTGGAAGAAGGAGCTGAGGAGTTTCTGTTGAAGCCGCTTCAGTTATCAGACTTGGAGAAGCTTCAGCCTCATCTATTAAAATCCCTGAATATGAATAACCAAACTTGTACAGAAATGGAGAAGGAGTTGACGAAGGACAACAATGAAAGCACGGACAAGAACAATTACAACGACTCTAACAACTATGTAAACAACAATAATAGTTTTAGCAAGAGGAAGGCTTTGTCAGCTGAGCCCCCAGAGAGGAGGCCTAAAATGAAAGAATTGGCAGTAGTATAATCTTTTTAAATTTTGATGGGAGATTGTGGTATAATTAGTCTACATTAGAGAGTGCATTAATTTTCCTAATACTTGGGTTACGTGATCATGTATCTACTTAATTAATTGGTAAATGTTGCTAATGTCAGGGTGACGGCCTTTTCTATAAACATATTATTATTGAAAATATTATATGCTAGTTTGGTGGGCAAAAAGCCATATATAAATAAATAACATAATTAATTAGATAAGAGAGAAGTAAACAAAAACGTATTTGGTCTGTAGGGCTAAAATTATGGGAATTACCCATGGCCATGAGCAGAGAACACAGACACTGATTACAAGTGGCGCAAGTCTATGAAATTTGTAGAATAAAGAATGAGTTGATATTGATATTAGCTGGAGGTGAACCTGATTTAGGATCAAAAGTCCCCATCGTCAGTCAATCGTATTTATTGTAGATGAAGATAGGATCCAGAACTACCTTTCAGCTGTTTGATTGAAAGGTACTTGAAACTTATCCAGTGACCCAGACTTCAAGAAGAAGCCCTACATCATAACACGGGCGATGTGGAATCTTGTGATAGAATCATAGATTAGAACAAGGTTTGAAAACCCGGGCCGGCCTGGCCCAGTTGGTAGAATCGGTTCAACCAGGATCCAAGTTATCAATTTCCACTGTTTATGAAAAACTCTAAAGAGGACAACGACCAACGAGCAATTGGTGGTTGGAATGTTGAGGGTTTGAAGAGGAGAGGCTAATGAGTGTAAAAGTGGTAACGGAGACAATTTTCAATGGGTGAAACGACTAGAAATTACAAAAATGTGTTGCAGCTTGTCGACAATTGAGGACGACAATCGATGAGTAATTGACGATTGGGGTGTTGGGAGTTTTAAAGAGAAAGGGTTGGTGAGTTTAAAGGTGGCGATGGAGACGATTTTCGACGAGTGAAACAATCGAAAATCATAAAAATTGCATAGTGGCAACGACTCTTGTTGTCGATGATGAGGTGAATTGGGGTGAGGTAAAATGGGTTTTGATAAGGAGGCTGAGGAGAGTATTTTCATAGTGATGAAAAGTGTTGTCGACACTGGGTGATTTTGAATGATTTCAAACCTGTAAAAACTTACACAATTTTTAAGAGTGTTTTTGCTAAATTTTAAACTTTTTTATATGCTAATATCACATCACTGGTCAAACCGGTTCAACCAGGTCCGACCACTTTGCCAGGTTGCACCAGGCCGGGTTTTTAAACCTTGGTTTAGAAGTGGCAATAATGTCTTCCTCTATTACAATAATTTACGTGGAGGCTGATAATTTTTTAAACAAATGATATTATACGATAGCACCAAGTCTATCATCAACATAAAAATAAAATGGTGGCAATTGCTCCAAAAGAAAATTTTTCTGGATATTAACGCCAACACAAACGAGAATAAACTATAGAAATATGCCAAACCACCGACATTAAATTAAAAATATCTCTTCTACATAATTAACTTACTATCTTGTTCCTTACGCCAAACACTGTTACAACTATGCTATTCCAAAAAGTAAATACCTGCTAAAACTGCCGAAAATGCCTCCTATTTATTCATGCAAACGGCAAACCTAAAAAGAAACTGAGAGGAAGGACATCAGGCTTCTTTGTTTTTGTTGTTGATATTATTGTTTGGTATAACAGCCGCCAAGCACAATACAACATGCGCATGTCTGTATACTCTCTACAGAGAGAAGCTGCCATTCCTGAAGATTCAAGAAATTTCAAACTTTTAGTAATAATTCCATATGACTAGCATTCAATTTTTTGCATGAAAGATTTTGAACAGAAATATGTACCTTCTTTAGAGTTCATCTTTTGCAGATGATTCATCTTTAACAGATTCTTCAACATCTTGAACAGATTTATCCCTGTTCTTCTCAATGAATTTGATAATGTCTTCCTTGGTCCTATCCCCCTCATAAGCTACTATCTTTCCACTAGCTGACCTGAAGTACACGCTTGGGAAACCTTGAACATCAAAAGTGTCGCCAGGGATATCATTTGCAGTTGCATCCTAGACAAACACAGGATCAAATCATGTCAAAAAGAATTTTTTCAACCACAAATATATTTATATTAAAGACTCTGCGCAGAGGAGATGAACATATTGAAACACGAAGATAAGGAAAATGATGAAATATCAAATGGTAACAAAGAAAATTTGAGTAAGGTCGAGTCTTAACAAATTAAATTAATGAGCAAAAACTAGCTGTTAATATATTGGACAAGGCATCATGTCAATGGGCCAAATATAGCTGTAAGCTCTTCCTAGTTCTTCTAAGCAACTGTTTTCATTAGATTTAAGGAGCTTTTTGGTTTTTCTTCATGTGAATAGTTAAAAATCCTGCCCAATCATTATAATAGACAATACAAGTTTCAGACATAAAACAATAAATTTGATTATTGATGTCAAGGAGAAGAAGGATCCACGCCAGTGGATGCAATAATCAATTAAATTACATTTCCAGCTGATGACTGCAATGAAATATTAGTTAAAGCCATAGGAGGATCTTCTTAGAGGTAGAAAAGTTGAAAAATCTTACAAATTTTGCAATAACAACATCGGCATCATTTTGATAAGAGACCGCAACTTCATCCAAGATTGGAGCCAATTTTTTGCAATGTCCACACCAAGGAGCATAAAACTCTAGCAGAACTGCATAGAGCAAAATGTCAACAAATATTAAATTTCAACACTCACAAGAGATATCCAAAAGAACAAAACTAATGAGTAATAAAATAAGACACAAAGTTTCAAAAAGCAGGAAATGGCAGTTATACTTGCAATTATTAAGCAGCTTCATTTATACAAATTACTTTATTACAAATTTCCATTTTTAACTGTAAAATTAGCTGGCTATTGATGTTTCAAATAAAAGAATTAGAAAATAAATGCATGCCATCAGTGATCACGAGAATCACGCCTACAACAAAAAGCATATAGCATAAACTGACACAAAACATTTCATGATTTCTTATTAGAAAGTGACACAAATCCTACAACGAAAAAGCATTTCCAGTATAATAACAACCTAACACAAACTACCAGAAAAGACACAAAATTTCAAACACAGTAAACAAACATAAAAAATGATAAGAGGGAGGTATTTAAAACACACCATTTTTTCCAGACTTGAAAACCATATCCTGAAAGCTTTCAGCAACAACCACCTTCACAGGCTCATTGTTCTCTTCAGGGATAGGCTCAGATTTTTTGAATGGTTGGATTTTACCTTCCTGCAAGTATAAACTTTCATAAAAAGATGCTTTCTGTGGAAGGTCTTAGTATAACACACCTTATTCTACAATAGCATCAATAAAGTTACATTTAACAAGTAAAACATTAACTTGGCAACTCCATCTCACCTATCATATAAGGACATCATGAAATTCTCTATTCTCATTTGAGGAAAAAGCACAATAAATACAAGAAGCAGATACCTTGTATTCCTTCATCCAAGGAGCAATCTGATCAGCCTCCAAATTAGGTTTCAAATACTTCTGCCCATCAGTTGTCTGTATAATGATGAGAGGCACTTGGCTTTCTTTGAGTCCAAAGTACTATTGTTCAATCCATGAGAAATAATTGACATGTCAGAAAACGATATCAAATTTGAAACACTAAATAGAAACTAGCAGATCAATGCATACTAACCTGGAAGGCACCTTGACTAGCGTCAAGATCTCCCATCAGAAAACTGATGCCCTGTCCTTTGTATTGATCAGCAACTTCACGATATTTCGATTTGAAAGAATCAGCACCTTCGCTGTTGAAGTTCATAAACAACATTGCCTATATTTGCAATTTAACAAAAAATTAGACAATGATCCATTAAGAGTTAGTTTGATAAACAGAATCAACTATTTTGCTGCCATATATCATTAATAATACCAGACAAATCAAATTTAGGAAATAAAAAAAAAAGGAAAAAGGAAACAGAAGATGAGAGACACAAGACATTAGTGTCTATATGAAAGGATCAACATATTCCATCCTAATTATATAAAAAACATGACAATCAATTTTTTTTTTTTTTTTTTTTTTTTTTTTGGGGGAAGGAAGTTGGAGAAAATGGCAATCCAAGACAACTGCACTTTCCTGTGACATAAAAGCCTATCTACAAAAAGAAGAGAAAATCTAAAAATGGTTTGAGAGACTAAAGGTTGTGAGATCACAAAATAGCAGTTGATCCTATTCTAAAAAAAGTATTTGTTTCAAAGAAATTACCATGCTCGCAACCTATAATCTATTGCTCTGATGCCAGATATGGAGTGTTCATTTTGAAGCCACCTAGACCTTTTCTATTTCTTATTTCATTTTCCCTGTAACCAGGTACCATGAACCCACATGGAATTCCAGCCTTGCTTTTCAGAATGATAATTTTATTACATAAGAAAAATATCAAATGTAGTATTTTAACAAAATATAGAACACATATTTTATGAAAGTCTGCTTCAGCAAGTGCCATAAACAGAAAGGTCATATATGTCCCAACCTACTCTTCACTTACTTACAACAAACGGAAATAAGATGATTTCCATATGTAATGGTACAAAATTTTTAACTAAATTGAAAAGGACAGAGTAACTTTATATACTGGTGCATACCTTTGCATTCGGACTGTTAAAGAATTTTATGACGAAAGGGTGCAAGCTTGGGTCACTGCTAAACAGAGTCACAAGGGGAATGCTAGATTCTTCAACAAACTTCTCAAGAGCATCCACCTTAAAATCCTGCAAGCATGAAACTTTGGTAAATTAGCTGCTTGAGCATAGCTTGACAAAACCATTTACACATGTATATATGATAATGATACTGAAAACACAACCCAAAAATCAGAGAATAGTCTCCTATACCTTAGAGTCAACAAATAGTTCATCAAAAGGCTTGAACAACCTTACTGCAGGCCCGGTCACTGATGACTCCCCACGTGGAAGGAGTTTGGCATTTTGTGTATGACCAAATTCGTAATCTGATCGCAATTTCTCAGCAACAGCCATGAAGTTCTCAAACTCCTCTCCAGATAATTTCGGGAAAACGCCAACCTACAAAATACATGCATAAATGTTTAAATACAAGTTTAAATTTCCTCCAACCAAACAAATAAACCAAAGTATTCATGTCACACTTACAACAACTATCTTCTTCTCATCAATAAAACCACTAGCATCTTCTGTAGTCTTTATTTCAGTTGAAGCAGGACCGCTCTGTTTCTTTAAATATGCAACAATACCCTCAGCATCCCGGGGTCCTTTGTATTCTTGAACTGACTTCCCTCCATCCCTCAAAATCTTAAGTGTGGGGAACCCCTTAATCTCAAATTTGGTTGCGAGATCTTTGTTTGCTTCCTCATTAGCATCAACTTTGGCAAGAACAATAGGCGGATCATGACTACTCAAAATAGATGCAGCTTTCTCATACTACAAATAATAACAGACACCTTGTTAATTTGTTATCAGCAAATTGAACGAACATTATATTCGATCATAAAAATATAAAATAAAACAAGGGTAGATCAGTACCTCTGGAGCAAGACTTTTACAGTGGCCACACCTGAAAAATAATACAGAAATTAGCAACATGCAATTGATAAATGTTACGATTTCGGGTTGTTGTTGGCTCAGAAAATTACAAAATTATAAACATGGCATGCATTAAACTAAATCTTAGTATGAATGGTCAACCTAATACAAAATTAAACAATTAATTAATAATTTATATAAAAAAAAAAATCCGCCGAATTAACAGTTAAAATAAACAAATTAACCAAACAAAGAATGTCTAGACTGCAGCTCAAACATTTAAAAATTGCCTTAAGCCAGGGAATGAAATTAAAATCTCATGAAAAACAAGGAGCAAAATCTAAGATGTGCAGAGAACGAAACACGATTAACTAGATCTATACAAGTAAGAATTAAAGGAAGTGAAAATTATACCAAGGCGCGTAGAATTCAACGACGATGAACTTGTGTTTACCGACAGTGTCATCGAAGTTGGAGTGATCCAAAGTTACGACGAACTCCTTGGATTCGGTGCTCTTACTCTCTTCAGCAAAGACCGGCGTGAGTCCACAGGCGATCACCACCACCAGAGGAAATATCAACCATTTGATCGCCATTATCACAGCTATTTTTCTGAAAAATATCTTCAGATACACTTTTCTTTTATTCAAGTGAGGAGAGTAATGGGGGTTTTATGGAGATGCGAGTTAGAGATCCAACGCGACAAACATGGTACTCACACGTGACTCAGTGGAAAGTGCTCACGTGAATGAACAGCGCGAGTACTGTTGAAACAAACGTACTCGCGCTGTATGTGGATGAAAATCCACGTGGAGAAATTTGATTGGGGATTTTTCGTCATAGGAACTGCTAATAGTAATTTGGAGTGTGGAAGTCGTATAAGGCAAATATATATATATTTTAATTACAACAATAATAATATTTGATTTTAGCATAGTCTTAAGTCCCATATCCAATCGAAGGGATTTAGTTTAATTACAACACTAATTTTGGGATTTGCATAGTTTAATAAATAGTTATACAAGTTGCAACAATCATCAATCTAAATTTTATTATTATGTTTAAATCTAAATTGCTTTGGTACAATTGAGATACATTACATTTTATTCAGTTTTGGATCCAAAATCTATAAATTTCGTATACGAGAATAATCCTAAAAACACAGTATTGAAGTTTAGTCAAAGAATTAGGTTCCTCTCCTTTTAAGGATTGCCGTGAGCTTTCAACTACATAATTAAAGTATAAGTCAAAAACCCTAAAAATCTAGCCATAATAATCTTCTACTCTCTACAAACCTCTTTCATTCATTTATTTGCTATCTTTTTTTTTAACCGGAGTTGGAAAAAGAAAATGCATGTTAAATATTATATCAGGAATTACTCCACGTATTGTTTGACAATGATTTGATAGAATCCTTTTCAAGATTTGATAGATAATTTGACAAGTCAATGATTTTTTTTTGTGTGTTTCAAAGACCAACATGTTAACTGATCGAATTCGATAAATTAGATCAGATTTTGCAGTTTTTTCTTTTGTAGTACCTTAACATGGCACGAGCGCAAACGGGGTTCAAGAATCCGTTTTCTTCTTAATCAGGTTGCGCTATCAATTTAACGCGGATTTTGCAAAACTTTCAGTTTTAAACTTTCAGTCTTATTTATAACCGCTTATCTTGTAATCATTTTCCCTAATCTTATTTGATAATTTTGTTTTAACGTTTGTAGCCAAACTTCCTGTTCCTGGGTTCTTATTTATGATTTAAGTTAGATATAAACTTCCTTCTGTCACAAAACAGTATAAAAAGGATGTTTTTTTTTTTTTCCCTTTCAAGAAGAACTTTTGTCTGTTAAAAGGCAACTTCTGCCTCATTTAGAAGATAAGGGTTAGACTTAGATTCCCAAATGAGTAGAGACTAAAATCACATCATTCATAAACTATACGCTATTTCCTTATTTTGACCCCATAATTTTTTACTTTATAGATTAGATGTAATTAGTTAGCAACTTTAACCTCCAGGACCATAACAACTCAGTTGCAAACTGCTGAAAAATTCAATACTGCTTGAAAAGTAAGATAAAACCTCTGAGTAGATTGTTTCAGTAACAATCTCAAAACATCAGACTTATAAAACTACAAACATGATGTGCATGCAAAATGCTTGTGCAACACTTTCATATACTTCAGTTGACACGAAACAAATTCCCGGTTAAAAGCAGGGCCGGAAGAAATAGCTTTCCATTCATTATCAGATTGATAATCAAAATTTTGAAGTTTCAACACTACACATCTACTCCTGACTACAATCTTCCCAAACAATTCCAGCGACAACCGGTACATCTACCCACAACCCATCAACCAATAAATGAATTTCTGTACAAAATTCCTACCTATCTAATTAAAGGGGTTAAACATTACCAAAATTTTGAAACGAGCAATTTCAACTCTTGAGCTCCCCAAAGGATGCGCTGCGTGAACTTCTTGCAACTCTACATTCTCTAAATGATTCTACAATCCCCTTTCTTCACATCTTCAGTTAGTTGCTCCTTGTAATGCCTAATATTCACTTCCTATAGATCTTTTTTTTCTCAGCCAATCTAACATTATACATAACTGATCTCACTGCAACTGTACATATTCAGGCAGGCTTCTTCCCCAAAATAAGCCACCACGGTCAGATTGAAGCCAAAATACTAATTTATGCATTCCCTATGAGTTTCCGGTATGCTCAAGTCTGACTTCCTCGTGAACTTTCACTACCTCTGCAGTGAACTTGTTTAATGCCTCAAAAATGGGGACAAAACCTGCCTGCAAACTACTTGAAGCTGCATTGTGAACTAGTTTAATGGCTTCCTTATGCCTGGCTTTCTCTTCTTCCAATTTCTTTTTCATTGAATCCAAATCCACCTTCAAATCATCAAGAGGTGAAACTCCACTTCCCGAGACCTTGGACACAGCTGTTTTGTCAGACAACGCATCTTGGTCATGTTCTATTTTCCCCCTCTCCATGCGTAATGTCCTAAGCTGTTGCTCAAAATCCTTTGAGGTATATTCTGCTTTGATCCTTTGACGTTGCTCCTCATCTTGCCTTTCCCATAACTGATGTAAAGTTGAAGCAAATCCACTCATAGCACCCGTCACCTCCTTCTCAGAAATTCTATCAATTGCTTGGTACCAATCATTGCAAATTACAAAAATTGGAGGAGCTCCAATCCGACTAGGAGAGAAAGGAACTTGTCCATCAGGGGTTTCTTCAGGTTCATAAAGAAGGCACCTCAAAAGCCACCCATTTAAGGATTCAACGTAGGATTTTTGGGTCTTAACCCAATTATTAAATCGGGAACACCAATTCATAAGCTCCATCTCAAGATCAAGTGTAGCTTTTAGACCAGAATCTCTTCGGAAGCTTGTGTTTGCTTTAAGAGAGCGAACTTTGCTTTCCATGATAGCTTGGAACTGTTTCTGGTGGCATTTTAGCATGGACCTCCACATTCTTATCAATCTGCAAATGGAAAGGTTGATTTTCTCAGATAAACAAATAAAGAAATGAAAAGGTTAATCAAAGCCTTTAGGCAAGAGGAGACGGACCAGAATAATAAGATATTCCTATAGGCTATAGACATTTGATTATTAAACACCAAAAATAAAATAAAATAAACTACTCCAAAAATAAAATCACTATATACCCATGAATTAGTTCAGTGAGTTGTGGCCGCAGTTCTTCATCCCTCAACTTATGCATCCGGCTTGATATAGAATCAACTGCTCTGATACAAACATTAATTTTGGTCAGCAACTTTCTGATTGAAGCCTGTGTAGCATCAATCTTGCTGGACTCTGCTCCTCGGTCATCTAACATTCTTAGTCTCTTGCACTGCTTTTCATATATAACTCTTAACTTTTCTTCATCCTAAAATCAGCAGAAATACCTATAAATGTTAAACCAAATTCCATAACAACTAGATATCAAACAACTTGAATGCAAACAATTAAGAAGTTAAAGAGTAAAGAAGCTGATAATTGACATCCAAGTCACATTTGATATACACAACAGGATTGTATTATGTTTTAAAAAGTATAAAGATTTTTTAGAATCAGAATTTCACATAGAACAAATTTCGCATGGCAGAAGAGACATCTAAAAACCCACAAATCTGGAGCCTAACAGCAAGGAAAATTAAAGGACAGTTTCAACTAGTGAATTCAGCAAGCAAAAGAGACTACACGTAAGCCTGAACAATGATTAACCAAGAAAAATGGCTATGCATGACCATAGACATGAGGTATAGAAAAAGAATCTGTATCAACCACAATTTTCAATTTCAAAATTATTTAATGTTCCAAATGAGTAAGTTTTTTGCATGGCAGCTTCAAGCATGATAATGCAGTAATAAGAATTCTAAAGGTCCATTAAGAAAACAATAATCAAAACAGTAAGATATATTGAAAAATTTTCAAAATCATATATGCTCCCTTACCTTAACTTCCTTGTATAATTTCTTCTCCCAGGCGTAAAGTTTCTCCAAAGTTGATGAAAGGTTTGCAGAATTCATGTCAAAGTCTTTCCCGGGATCCCCACAGTATGCTTTTGCCATCTTCATTGTCCTAGAACTTAACCGAACTGAACGCCTATGTGGAGGATGTGAAGATAACATGGATGGTGCAACTAGGTACATGATCCTGGAAAAGATAACTGCATATGGACATGTAAGTCAATAGAGAGTCATGGTAAATGCTAGCGTACAGGGATTGAATTTAATGTTAATCAACCATAAAATTGATCAAGCTACATGAGATAGATCAGCAAAGGGGATTTTTTTTCTAATCTAAAGAAACAGATAAAAGTGAATAACATCTTAAAGGTTCCATCTGTAAGCTGACTTGTTTTAAATTGTAGTGTAATCAGCTGTGTAAAAATAATCTGTTTCCAGGTACAAACTGGACAAATCCCCACCAGGTTATTCATACAGGTTACAGCCAATACCAAGCATATGAATGTTATCCTGTTAGCAACTCCAATAAAAACTCATTTTACCAAGAAAATGTAGAAATCTTTTTTCCAAAAATTGTTCCACAAGAAAATCCCTAGCAACTCATTCACTTATCTTTGGTGCCCAACACCATCAAATTCACAGTAAAGTTAATGCATCCAGGGGGGCCCTATAGTAGGTATATCAGAAGAGTTGTCTAAAAAAAATGATGAAACTGCAAGCAAACACCAGAGCGAAATACAAGAAAGCTGCATATATAATTGGAAATACTGAGCTATTAAATGAAATATGTATAACTAAAAAAAATTAAACAAAATGCAGCTCTTCAAGGCAGATGGACGCAAAACAGCATCACAAAACAAGAAAGCAGAATATGTGTGGACTGACTTGAGCAAAATTGACAAATAGTTTGGTCCAAACAAAAAAAGAAGGCCTAGAAATAAGACCAAGTGACCATTAATTGTTTAAGTCAAGCTTTCAGAAAAGCATTTTTTCCTGTTTGGACAACTGAAAGATTGTGGCTTTTACCAAAAGGTGGTCCTGAGGCATCACAACCCAGATCTTCCAAGAGCAAACCACATATGTTACAACTCGACTAAGCTGGGTCAACTAATATAATGCACTCAACTAGCAATTCACAGAAGTAACTCCCCACCAACAAAGAGCTGCTGCGACTTAAATAATCACACAAATGATAAACCTATATGCAAATATTATCTGAAAAGGTGGTAAAGAGCATTCAAAATGCACAAAAATATATCCCAACCACAGAAACAAAACTGTAAAGTAAATACGTTCACAGAAAGCAAAAATCAAATAAACACAAAAGGCTTAAATCGTACCCTTAAGAAATGGAGTGGTTCTACGCTGATAAGGCAACTTTCCGACCTCAAGCAACACGGCAACCTCTTTCCCATAACTAGAAGCAATCTCAAACTCATCTCTGATCTCCTTTACCACCTCCTGAAGGTCCCTTGTTCCATGAACTGACAATGTAGTTAAACTACTGGGCTTGGAAGATTCAGTTTCAACAGTAGTAATTGGTGAGTCCTCAACCTCAAAACTCACCCCCTTTTTTCTCACACTGTCCTCTTCAGAACTCTTTGACACAATACTTTCAAGACTACTACCACTACTGCCCTTAACCTCCTTAGGCTCTGTTTTCTCAAGTTTTGGTGACTCACTACTAGCGTTTCGCATTGGCACTGACCTAGACGTTCCCTCTCCAAAGTTCACATTCTTGTTTTTATTATTACTACCACTTTTCACGTTTACATTCATTTCATCGTTTATTTTATTTTTCTTTTTTTCATTTTTATAAACTTCTGGCTCTGTCTCATCTTCCAAAGGTGGAATACCTTCTCTCTCCCTCACCACAGTCGAATCCGGACTACTCGAATTCGACCTGTACCCGTATCTAAATGAACCCGGGTACATACCATAGTTGTTACTACTGCCATCATAAGTGTCGAACACATTCAGATAATCCCACGTGGACACCCTCGGCGGCGAGGGAGGTGGCCGCGGCTTAGCTGGTGGACTCGTCCGCTGATCATTTCCTGAAGGTGAACCCATTGAGAACCCGAAAAACCCACCACTCTGATACATAGGCGGATAACCCGGCCCACCGTAGCCGTATCCATAACCCGACCCAGCATACTGTCGCTCGGGCTCCTCGTAAACAACAGACTTCGCCGGTGCAGCAGATTTTTTCATATAATACATGTTGTAGTTCCGATTTGGAGGATATGCCCAGTCTTGTTGATCTGGAGGGTATGCCCAGGTCTGTTGATTTGGGGGATAAGCAAAGTCTTGTTGATTTGGAGGGTAAGAGTAGTTTTGTTGGTTTGGAGGGTAAGCGTAGTCTTGCTGGTTTGGAGGGTAAGAAAAGTCTTGTTGATTTGGAGGGTAAGCAAAGTTTTGTTGTGCATGATAATATGGATAATTGAAACCATTGTACGAAGAGGACGATGGCTCATCTCGTTCATGGTGTTCGTGCTCGTGTTCATGTTCATGTCCATCTTCGTCGCTATCCTCTATATGGATATGACCTGAATCCGAGTCCGTATCCAAATCCGACCCGGAAGACAAATGCAAGTGCGAATCTTCGTGTATTTCTTCCTCTTTTAACTTATCATCAACGGAATGAGAAATCGACGTGGACGAAGAAGTGTTCCGGATTTTCCTTTGCTTGGACGAGGATTTGCCTTCGTCGGACGGCAAGGTGAGAACCGGAGAGTCTGGGGAAGATCCAGAACCTCCGATCACGAGCTCTTCCTCCACGAATTTTCGGAACGCGTCACCAACTTCCTTCAACGAATAAAAGTAGGACACGTGTGCGGCAGCGAATGCGTAGCGGTGTTCGGACGCCTCTTTCAGAAGCTGCTTGCGTTCTCGGCAGAGCGTCACGAGCGGTAAGTCATCGATTTTGGATCCTCCACACCCCATGTCGAAGAAGAAGAAGAAGAAGGAATTTGCATAAACAAGTCACGTGACGGAGGAGTGATGATGATGATAGGACGAAGAAGAACACTACTCATGGTGCCTGTTGTTGTTCGTAGAAAGGATAACCAGAAGAAGGCATTGTGCAGGGGCAAGTCAGTAAATAACAGTAGATCCAAGGCTAATTTCAAATTCTCACCTCAACAGTCAACACACAAAGTTCATCATCAAAAACAAAATAAAAACAAAACCCTACGACACAGAGAGAAATAGAAACGGAAAGAAAAGAAGAGGAATGAATCTGACCGTTGAGATGAATGAAAGAGAAACACAACCGTCCATGCAATTGAAAAATTGAAACTGAGATACGCTGAAGAGAGGTTTTTGTATTCTTGTGATTATAGCTTCTTCTTTGTTTATTTATTGATAAAAGAGACGACGTTACCTGGAGATTTTAAAAGTGGTGGGGATATGTAATGAAAAGAAAATTAATTAATGAGAGAGAAGGAGTGGTGGAAAAAAAGGAGAGAGAAGAAGAAGAAAAGAGTTTGTCTCTCTTGTTCAGTGAAACAGAGATGGTTTCAGAAACTGCAGCGGGAGAAGAAGGCTCGTGGAACCCGCCATTGGCTACGGACCCTGTCACAGTCATTATTATTACCACACCAATTTTAATTTTAATTTTAATTTTGTGTTTTTTGGTGTTTCCTTTTTCTCGTTTGGTTACTTGCTCTTGCTCTTGGTGGCCTGCACTGCGGAGTAATTACACCTATACGCCTACGTTTTCCTAGTCATTCATTCCACGTTCTGTAGCTTTTTGTTTTATCGCAGTAAATATGCGCGTACGAATACAGGATAAAACAAAGTATTTATTAAATAAGGATAAGAGTATAAATACATTGTTGACAAAAATAGATAAAAATGCAGAATCACATGAAAGCAGAAACCTAACACATTTTCTTTGCTCTTTTTTCAGAGAATATAATAATTTAATTAATTATAATATTTAGTGAATCACCTTGGATACCCTTTAGAATTGCTAAACCTAAACCTAGAGATGGTGATCATATAACATTGCTATTACATATGGATCATTTCTAGACATTGATAATTGAATATGTGTTGGCATTTTAGCTGACACATTTAATGCCCTTTGATTGGGATTTCTTATCTCATATTCAAATTACTAGTAAATCAGCAACTTTAATATATTACTCAAGAATAAGTTTTTTTTTTATTTATTTATACATTAAAAAAAAAAAAAAAAAAAACCGAAAGAGACTTGTTAGCATGATGACGATGCCTTTAACTGCTTTCATCAATCATCACCATAAGTAAATAATGCCAAAGTAGTATCCCATGCACTTTATGTTAAAAAATAAAACGGTGATAGCAGCAAGCCTTTTCCGTTTTTTTATTATTAAAAAAATGTTGATATTATCAAAAGTATTTTTTTAATTATTATTTATTACTTTTTTTTTAATAACGCTGATAATAATGAAAAGCATGCTTTGATGTTAAACATCTGAGGATTTTTAGGAGTACTTTTCTCAAAGGAAAAAACTTTCATAAAAATATTCCTAAGTAGGTTTTTTTTTTTTTTTTTATATGACTAAATGTTGCGTCTATTTATAAGTATTTCAACTAATTTCTCGAGAATTTAAAATTACTGATGACATAAAATTCTAGTAATTAACTCTATTAGTACTCAAAGAGGAACTCAAATTCAGATCTCTTAAATAATCTTTACTATTAAGAAATAGTTTTGGTAAAAAAAAAAAAAGTTCCAAAGGTTTTGGTTTAAAAAAGTATTTCACCAAATAACATCATAAAAATTAATAAATTACATGTGCTAATTGTGAAGATGATAATATATAAGTTGATGGCTACGGTGCGGATGTGGTAGGGTAGTTTGAAACTTAGCGCAAGGTATAGCCGTAAAGGTAGTGTTTATGACGTGAAGTAAATAAACTAATAAAGGTGGTGTTTGGTGGGCGGAAAGAGAATATTGGTAAGATGGAGTGCGTGTATCAGCAGGACCAGAAAAATGCACGCTCCTGCATCCAGAATCAACAAAGAGTAAGACTCAAGTTACCATTTTAATCTTCCCAATTCACTCTATATTTATTTATTTATTTTAAATCGTACATTACATTTATTTTATTGTATCGGATATCATATCACGCTTCTTCCTTTCCGTAATTACATTAACTTCGTCTCAATTTACAATATCGCCGTGCATGTCCTATCTGCATTTATGATTTACCTGCCCACTTCTGTTGGACTAATATTACAACTAAAATCTCTTCTCATGCATTTTCTCCGACAAATCCAACATCTACCTCACAAAATTAGTTAGTTGGTAAGTCATAATTTATCATGTGATAACCAAGTTAAACTCATTATAAATTAATTAATTACCGTTATATCAAAATTATAAAAAATTATTTATAAAAAAAATAATAAGTGTAGTATTACTTTTATTTTATTATCACAAAATAATAATAACACTTTTTTTAAAAAAAAAATTTTGAATATACATTTTAAATAACTGATTTATACACATACTGAGAGTGATTAATTTGATTGAGAAAGAGAGACAAACTTTGGTAAGGGGAAGTTGTTTAGCGAAAGGAACAAGAAGAAAAATGATAAAAGGGAGTTGTTGTTGTTAAGTAGAGATTTGATAGAAGCATTAGATTCTTTTGTGGCCCATCCCCGATTTCATTTATTTTGTTCCTCCTAAATTTATATACATTTACATATTGGTGGATGGATGGAATAGTGTGTTTGTCTCTCTCTTTTTCTTTTAACTTTTTCCCTTTTTCATTTACTTTCAAATAAACAAAAAACATGACCATGCCTAATTCTCTATTGTAACCCACTTGGATTTCGGGTCCACCGTTGCTAACGCCAGCACACAACATGCCTTTCAGGCACGAGGCGTCCACACTCTTCTTCTCTTTAATATTCTTTCTCGGGTCGGGCTACATTTGACCACACCATACAATAATAACTTGACCCATTTAACCTCAATATTATTAGTTGGACGGTGAGATGACAATAAAACTCAATCTAAAATTAAAAATATTTGTAATAATCAAGAATTTGAACGATATAAAAGTGAAGAGCAGGTATTGAAGCGTAGAGTGTAGAGCAGGGGAACAATTCTCGTAAAGTGAAATAGGGTTTGACTTGATAGGTTACTGCGCTGAAAATCATGGTGCGTGGTCGTGTCGTGATAATAGATCGTTTGACCCACCTAACCTTAAGCTAAATCCCTCCAACACAGATACCTTTTATCACGTGGGCTCCATTGTCACTGAATATTATTATTTAAATTTAGATTCCTTGCTGTTCCACCCTGATCTACTGTAACGTTATCGATGCCTAATCAATAACCAGATTGTCGATCATAATATAGTACCGTTCGATTCAAGTTACCGGATTAGATTTGGATCCAATATTTATATTTGTTTCCTTTAAACAATCGGATCGGGCTTCTTCCGCTGTCTGAGATTAGGTAGAATATTCCTTANTTCTCTCGGGTCGGGCTACATTTGACCACACCATACAATAATAACTTGACCCATTTAACCTCAATATTATTAGTTGGACGGTGAGATGACAATAAAACTCAATCTAAAATTAAAAATATTTGTAATAATCAAGAATTTGAACGATATAAAAGTGAAGAGCAGGTATTGAAGCGTAGAGTGTAGAGCAGGGGAACAATTCTCGTAAAGTGAAATGGGGTTTGACTTGATAGGCTACTGCGCTGAAAATCATGGTGCGTGGTCGTGTCGTGATAATAGATCGTTTGACCCACCGAACCTTAAGCTAAATCCCTCCAACACAGATCCCTTTTATCACGTAGGCTCCATTGTCACTGAATATTATTATTTAAATTTAGATTCCTTACTGTTCCACCGTGATCTACTGTAACGTTATCTATACCTAATCAACAACCAGATTGTCGATCATAATATAGTATCGTTTGATTCAAGTTACCGGATTAGATTTGGATCCAATATTTATATTTGTTTCCTTTAAACAATCGGATCGGGCTTCTTTCGCTGTCTGAGATTAGGTAGAATATTCCTTAAGAGTGATAATATTTAATCAGGTAACATTATTGATTCCATAATTAGACACATGTTAATTGAAAGTTATTAATTTTAATGATTATTATTATTTTATATATAAATAACATTTATATAATTATAAAAAATTATAGTTCAAATTAGATAATTATAAATAAAAATAAACTTTATATTTTAATAAATTATAATTTTTCTATTTCTCGTCTTATAGAAAGTTATCCTTGCATAATGTGTGTGTATATATATATATATATATATAACACTAAATATTTAAGATTAAAAAAAAATATTTATTTAAAGTTATTTGGGATAATAATTCATACTTTAAAGTTGTTACCATTTTTTTCAACTTACAGGTACATAATAACTCACTAGTATAACCATAGACATCTTTTTGATAAAACCAAAATATTTTTAACTTCTTAAACATGTTTAGAGTTTCTTGACGCGAAACTTTTTATATTTTTATATTATCATTTTTGGGATTATTTCATTTATCTTCTTACTTAATTACAATAACAACTACTAAAATAATGAATTAAAATCCTTATACATACTACTAAAACGTGAATTATAAAATAAGAAATTAAAACAGTAATTTTTGTAACTACAACTCTACTCAATTATAATCAGATTTGATTGTATATATAAAATGAATAAATGTAATGTCAATTTATAAAACTTGACATAAAATAAAAAAGTTTAATATATAAAAAATTGATTTAATAAATATTCAAATAAATATAGATGAATTATGTAATATGCGTATCAATCAAGCGTTAAACTATTAAAACAAATCCCATAAATAACAATAAGAAAATGGTATGACGTAACTTGTTCATTCCTTTATGAAAAAGATAAAGGAAAATAATAGAGTTATCGAAAAGTTTACACTGAATTTGTGTATCGAATGACGTGATAAAATCTTTACTATTTATTAATATTAACTGATAATAAATAAATAGTCAGAATTTTGTTATGTTATTTGATACGTAAATTTGGTGCACACTCGAACTGTAGGATTACTCAAAAATAAATTACCTAGTAGTGACTAATTAAACTTGGTTATTTCGAGATTTTACTTTTAATTTTTTTATCTGTGGACCACTGTCATAGGAGACGTACAAGCCAAGTCATGAAGACCTTGATGCGACGTCGAATTTATAAAAAACCAGACCTGACCTTAGGCGTTTACCTAATCTGAACAAGAATCCATCAACTTGTGCTCCAAGCAACGAAAATCAAAATTTTCAACTATTTGAACCTTTCACATGGAATTGGAATTCATTCAAATTCTCCAACTCCTGATTCTTGGCTGCTCTGTCAACATTAATCAATTCAAAGAGGATTGTTAATTGGAATTACAACTGAATGGTCTAGAAAGTTTTGAACGGATTATTTTCTTGTACTTAAATAGTTTAAGGATTAATTTTTAAGAATAGATGATAACTTGGTGATAATTTCTTTTTATAGGAAAAGAACATTGAGATATAATAACTATTTATAGGTAATTTAACGATTCATTTGAGATTTTTGGATTTATTATTTAAAAGGTATTGAGTTTGAATCCTCTAATTATTAATAATGGGTAGTCATTAGAGATTTATCCGACCAATAACTTTAAAACTCGGGAACAATAGTCGAGATACATATAAACTAGTCTGGACACCCTCGAATATCCAAAAAAAATAAAAATAAAGATATAATTATACCGAATAAAAACATGAGATGAAAGGCCAAAAGTGGCAAGGTAATTTGTTGAAATGTCTCACTTTTAATCGATTACTTTAGGTAAAAATTCAAAAGTTACAATATAATTAACTGCTGATGATCCCATTTTGATATCAAATAAATAGCCAATTTATTAGTTAATATACAAAACTTTAGTAGAGATTAAAGAATAGACAGCTAACACCGCCAACTTTTGTGAAAGGGCATTTCTCAGTGTTTCGAGCTATTGGTAGTTGCCACCATCAAAGAAAATCTTTATTAGTGGAAACACTGATCTTCGACGTAAAAGTTAATATTCTTCCTCAACCCATCTTTTAATCTGTTGTTGAACGCTTCTATTTCTTTGAAGCCGCGTTGAATTATTCTACAACAACTGTTCAATTACTCTACACAAGTTTTCAATATTTGAATTCCACATGTCGGCTCCATTCTATTTAACCTATTAATATTTGATTAATCCTAAGAATACGTAAGCATTAAACATATCATAACTATTATTTCTCTCTTTTTCACGCCAACAATGACTTCGGTCTCATTTTCTCATCAGTTTTTTCTGAGGGGAATAGTAACCCTTTCGTGTTGATATTTAGAAAGTAACATTCTTTTTTGTAATATAACATCCATTGGTTTAGAAATCTAACTGTAATCCTCATTTTTTATAGGTTCTTAGGTTATACTATTTAAATTTGAAGGAAATGACATTTTATTATTTACTCAATTCAATATCTAACATGCAAAATCTGTAACAATATTAAGAGGTGATATATTTCTGAGGTTAAATGATGAAATATGAAGATTGATGAATTGATGATATTCTAAAACTAACGGATATTACTTAAAAAAAACCTTTTTATCTCGAGTGATAAAATACGGTGTTTAATGAATAATTAAAATATGGAAGGGACCCTCCTCAGAAGTTAAGGACAAGGATCTTCCTGTTCCTAATAATAAAAGAACAAAAAGCTGGGAAAAGAAAAAGCAATTTACCAATTAATAAATAAATATAAAGGAAAACATGATGGATTTGGAAGAGTTATTATTAACCTAACAGGATACGCCACATGTGCTTCCTCAATGGGAGCAGAGGCAGAGAGTTTTCATCATCTCTCTATCCGTCTATCGCTCCTACTTTATGAATAAAAAGCTGGAGAGAAAGTTGAAAACTTTTGGTTTAAGCTGTCTCTGGTCAAACCCAACTTTCACCTATGAAAATAAAACATAAAACAGCTCCTCAAATCACTTTTTCAAACCTCCCAATTACGAAAACGTGGTGTCATTTGAGTTTGATTATTATTGACCAATTTTTCTAGATTCGAGTTTTGGCGTATAGGGTAAAAACTAAACTAAATAACTGTTATTATGCAATTTTGCCATTAAGTTAGGAGAAGTCAGAAGCCCGCACAGATATAGTTCGATCATAATTGGTTCGACTCAGTATTGGTTCGGCATTGTATAAGTTCGTTGATAGGGACAATTAGCACAAGTTAGTCGCAACAACCTTGATAGTGTCGACAAACCAGGGATGAACTCAAATCTCGAAATATTTGGAAGGGATAGGATTGACACCGGTGGTAGTGCGATCTTCATGTCCAATCATGACAATATCAGAACTACAATTTGAATTTGATTACAACCGTATTCTCTCTCTTTCCTTACTCTAAACTTGTATAATACCCTCTCCAATTATGAGAAAGGGGTTAACAATTTGTTTAAGCATTATATATATTTCTCCTGTAAGCTATTTAACGCAATAAGAGAAACGTGGCTTAACTGTAACCACTTTAAAATGTTTGTGTTTTTTACCTTACTGCACTATACTGTATCAAATAACTAAAAAAAAAAAAAATTCTGTTAAAAAATGATTTTAGAACTCTAAAAAATGACTTACGATAAGAATGAATACACCCTAACGTGGTTCCCGCAATAAGGTTGGGCCAGTCCAGAAATTTGAATTGGGCCGCCCAAGAGCAAGCCTTTCTCTTTACTAGATTGACCCTAAACCCATAATATGTTTTAAATATGGGTGTCACCCTCAACTATCATTCTTAAAAAATTATACGAAGATGAGGGTAAATTTAGGGAGAACAAAAATAAATTATGAAGATGAATTGATATGAAGATTTCTACTAAATATCAATTTTATTATCCTTTAATTAATTAATTATAGTTATTAACATGTATTAGGATTCTGTTGTTATCTGTTTTGCCGGGTTTCCGTATTTGTAGCAACTAGTCCTAGGTTGTCGTCCTCCTGCGCTAGCTTGTTGTCTCATGTGACCCCCTACACTCTGGCACGTGCTGCCCCCACGCCTCTTCATAAATTTCTCTCCTCGGAAACACAAAAAGTGTGTTTCGTACACTTTATATTTATAAATACCACGTAAGAAAATAAAATAATAAATATTTGTAAACATTATTTACTTATTTTATATTTTAAATATAATTATATTGATTTATAGTATTGCTGACATGTATTTTCCTCGTATTCCAGATACAGATGGACTGTACTGTAGGCGTTGAAGCCAAGGCAGTGAGTAATCCCATGGAGAGTCAACAAGTATTTATAAAGGAGTAGACTGTAGAGACGTTGATTGAAAGTGGCATCGCATGTGAGATAACTCCATAATAATTACAGAGAAAGACAAATATCTGAAATGGCATGCTTTCAACTTACAGAATCATGGGATATTGCGAGTAATGGGAGAGGAAAGAACCCATCATCCAACGTCACCGATAACACCAGTCACAATCAGGTATTTTCTTTATTGGTTTAGTTTGTTTGAGAGCACAATCACTATCACAATCAGCATTCCTGTACATATTTTTTTATATTGTTTTTGATGATGATCAGGAACCCGGTTGGAGAAAGTTCCTGCAATTTATAGGGCCTGGTTTCCTCGTCTCATTGGCTTATCTTGACCCTGGAAACTGTAAGCCCCTCTCTCTCTCTCCATGTGTGTTTCTGAGGGACTGTGTGTGTACTTACAAATATTTCTGTGTTGACATGATACAGTGGAAACTGATTTGCAAGCGGGAGCTAATCACGGATATAAGGTACGAGAAACATAAATTTATAAAAATATTATGGATGTATAGAAAAGAGAATGAACATTTTATCTTCTTCAAATAGAAATGCAAGAAGAAAACTAATAAGCGTCCGTGTTTGTCATTTTCAGCTATTATGGGTGGTTCTTATGGGATTGATCTTCGCACTTATAATCCAGTCCCTTGCTGCAAATCTTGGTGTAAGCACTGGTAAGTCATAAATTCACCTGCTCATAGTTGAAGAAATGTTAATAAATTATACTTGTTAATGCTTTTTTCATTGGATTTTCAGGCAAACACTTATCAGAGTTATGCAGGATTGAGTACCCAAATTATGTCAAGTATTGCCTGTGGTTGCTAGCCGAAATAGCTGTAATTGCTGCTGATGTACCCGAAGGCATGTATAAATTTTAAATTTATTCGTTCACAATATATTTGAAATATCGATAATTTTTATTACTTTTCTTTTGTTCAGTGATTGGGACGGCCTTTGCATTGAATATACTATTTCACATCCCGGTATGGATTGGAGTTCTCTTCACTGGCTTTAGCACTCTCCTGCTTCTTGGCCTCGAGAGATATGGGGTAATTTAATTACTGAAATTTATAATACTTCAATAATCTAAAACCAACTTTATTTTACTGGTCATAGCATCAAAATCAACACCTTTTGTATGGTTAAAATGATAGGTGAGGAAGGTGGAAATGCTGATAGCAACCCTTGTATTCGTAATGGCTGGTTGTTTCTTTGCGGAAATGAGTTACGCAAAGCCTTCTACAGTTGATGTGCTGAAGGGCATGTTTATTCCCAAGCTCAAAGACCAAGGGGCAACCGGCGATGCCGTTGCCCTGTTCGGTGCCCTTGTCATGCCGTATGATTCATCAATATCTCATATATCACCGTTCTTAACTACATTTTTAACTTATTTTCAAAGTCTGAGAACTTCCAATTTTTTTTGTTAAATGCAGGCACAATCTATACCTGCACTCGGCTCTTGTGCTCTCCAGAAAAGTGCCCTCTTCTGTCCGGGGCATTAATGTGAGTCAGTTTATTGATATTGAATAGCTTCTATATTTGATTGTTTTGGTGCTGATATTCTAATTTAAATTACAGGATGCATGTAGATATTTCCTCATAGAAAGTGGATTGGCCCTCTTTTTAGCATTTTTAATCAATGTAGCAGTAATCTCAGTCTCAGGCACTGTTTGCTCCGCCGCAAACCTCTCCGCTTATAGCAAGGATCAATGCAGTGCTATGACTCTAAACTCGGCTTCTTTTCTTCTAAAGGTCTGACTCATTCGATTTTGGCTACTTTTATTGACTCTTGACAAATGAAACTTGATCTCTATATTAAAGAAAACTTGAATACTATGTACAGAATGTGCTGGGAAAATCGAGTTCGATTGTTTATGCCATTGCACTACTAGCCTCAGGGCAAAGTTCCTCAATCACAGGCACATATGCTGGACAATTCATCATGCAGGTTGTAAAAAAGAATTAAAAAACTTGAACAATATTCAGACTCCATTAGTCACAATTTTCTTCCCTACATTATTTGGCTTATGGGTTATTTAATTTCAGGGCTTCTTGGATTTAAAGATGAAGCAATGGATGAGAAACTTGATGACAAGGAGCATTGCCATTTTACCAAGTCTTATTGTTTCAATTATTGGTGGACCTCAGGGAGCAGGCAAACTAATTATAATTGCATCGGTTAGAAAAATAATCATTAAATTCGGATTATTAATTAAAGTTAAACCCATGATTAAGTTAAACCAGTTGTAATATTTTTATAAGTTTTGTTTGCACAGATGATACTGTCGTTTGAACTGCCATTTTCTCTGATCCCTCTTCTTAAATTCAGTAGCAGTAGCACCAAGATGGGACCTCACAAGAATTCTATTTATGTAAGTTTGTGTTTTTTTTCAATATTTTTATGTTTTCTCCCTCTAGCTTTCTAATTAGGGTTTTTTTTGTTTTTAAATACATGCAGATTATTCTTATTTCATGGATCTTGGGTTTAGGAATCATGGGCATCAATGTGTATTACCTAAGCACAGGATTTGTGGGTTGGCTAATCCACAACCATTTACCCAAAGCTGGAAATATTGTAATTGGTGTGATAGTGTTTCCCCTAATGGCCATTTATATTTTAGCAGTTATCTATTTAGCTTTTCGGAAAGATACTGTTGTAACATTTACTGAGCCAACAAAAGAAGACCCAATGGCCCAAGTTCACATGGAGAATGGACTTGTAAACCCTATTGGGATTGAGTCGGGCCATGTGCCTTACAGAGAAGATTTGGCTGATATTACTCTGTCAAGATAAGATGATTTTAACCCAAAATCAAATGTATGATGAAATGATATGATATTTTGAGTTATTAGTGTATACACAATGTTGCAATGAGTTCACTGTAGAGCTAGTCATCAGTTGTATTTCAGAATTGTGGTTGGCACTTGGCAGTGTTATTTTGGCATGGCTCTCGAATTTGATTCTGCCAAAAGGTTAATTTTAATTTTGCCATAAGTATGTTTACGTACGACTGAATTTAAAGTAGTTGAACATTTACTATTACATATAGAGTTAACGACTTTTTCCCACTCAAAAATTGGTTTAATGACACTTTCCCACTTATAGATTTTTAAATTACTACTTTATTATCCAAATTTATATTCTAGAGACGAACAAAGAACAAACTCAAACCAAATTGTTGAGGCTTTTAAAAAGTGGAGGCCCATACATCTTTTGATGCTAAAATGTTAGATTTTGGTGGTTGAGATTAATCAAAATTTGCCTTAGAAGGGATAATCGCACAAACTCTAATCGCTCGATTACCGAAGATTGGTAATGTCGACAGGAATAGGGTTTGAAAGATTTTAGTGAGTGATAATTGGAGAAGAGAATGATTGTGATGTAGGGCCACAAAGATGCTGGAATCGAAAACAGAATATAAATTTGGATAGTACAGTGGTATTTTAAAAGTCTGTGGGTGAGAAAGTGTCATTAAACCATTTTTTGGGTGAGAAAAAATCGTTTACACTTACATATAAGAATTAAGATAACATTACAATATCGAATTAATTATCATAGGAATGGCCACATTATGATTTCTTGATGCAGATGTGCCAGATAATCACCCCAAGGAAATATTTCAAGCAAGAAAGTAGAGAGAAGACTGACCAAAAAAATTAGTGCAAACAAAAGATGCTATATCTATAATAAAGCTCCATAACCAAGTTAATTAACAACAAGAGATGTAACAAATGCTAAAACAGCAATCACAATCATGATATTTAGAAAATAGTTTGACTGTAAAGGCTTATCTGGGCTTCCACCAACTGCTTCATACTCTGCCCGAATCTTCTGCTTCATTGTGTCTGATAGCTCTCTCTGCAATTCAAATAGGCAACACTAATTGAATTTTATTCTTTCTCCTTCATTTAGACTTCCAAGATTTAGTTGTGAGATCAGGATGATTTGAAATAAAGCTTCTTGTATTATTTATAGATACAGCAAAAGATAACAAGATACTTGTTTTTTTAATCCTGCAGAAAATCATAAAGAGAAGAGAAGACAAACAATTTAGACATCCACAATTTCCTCCATATGAGTCTTTCACACAAAAAAAGCTTGCAACAAACTTTTGATAACTACTAACTAAAAGAATCAGAAAAAAGTAACTCATAATTACAACCTTCCCAGAAGAATACTTGGCAGCAACAAACTTCTCTGGCGCAGGTTTTGCGGGACTATCATCTATCACGATACCCTAATCACAAAATTAAACAATTAGCATGAAAGTCAAAAGTCATCTTCATCATTGCCTATCAAAGTTTAGAGATGCAAACTTCTTGAACCGAAGTCAAGAATGGGAGCCATTCTGATAACAAACGATGATAGTGTTTTGCCAGGCTGACCCCCAAAGATTAAGGGAAGGTGGTTTTGCAGTTATTTGGCACTCTAAAGATGCATGTGTTTGTGTGAAAAGAATCCAAGCTATTCAAAGTATTAAGGAAACAATTCCAGAAAACAACTACACAACAATTTTTGCATGTATTTTACATATGAAAAATCTCGGTATCAAGTTTGTATATATTAGTCTTTAATGCAGAATGTTATAAACTTCTAAAGTAAAATGACAAGTCTTATTAGGTCCATCCCTATACTAAGTGTTTGTCGCATGAATACAACCTCAAACAAAAGATGAGCATGCTTTGAACCCATAAACTTACTAATAAAAGAGCCATCAAAAGCAAAGGGGTGCTAAACCTGAGGTTCATTAAAAAAATAGAGTATGTACTAAAGCAAGAAGAAACAATTTATAATTTTTCATGAAAGCACAGAACACAAGCACTCAAAATTAACAAACCTCAGTAGGATCAAATTTGGCACCAAGGTTGCTGAGTTTGACATGGGCTTCAGCATAATCGTTGAAAAAAGCTTCTTGATCCTCAGCATATTTCTCAGCATATACCTGCCAATTATGCAATATTTATTAGCTATAAATGATGATGATTCTATGTCATTGATACAACAACATTTCATTACATTTTACCTTGAATGAAGGATCATCAAAAAGGACAGCATCAGTAGGCAACACAAGAAGCTCTTCATCCTTTTTTTCTTTAATATCCTGCACAGGAAAATCGCTGTCAGGAAGCAGATTTTGCAACCCCAACTCCTTCATTTCTCACTATAGAAAGAGAGTACGATCAGACTTCAAACCTTGAAGTAGGAATTATCAAATTTCAACCATTTCACTGTCCAGGACTGCCCTCCAGGAGCTCCGGGTCCATCTTTCTGTCATATAACATTTTTCCTATTAACTTGTTAGCCATTTGTAAAGCTATCTATACCAGTAGTCGTAAGTCATTAAATTTGATGAACCATCCGAATCACACTCTCCACAGAAACAATAGAAACAATCTCAGCATGAATTATTAAAAATTAAGTGGTTTTGTACCGTATACTTTGTTTCTGGTTTTCCCCAACCACTGCGTTCAGGTCTAGACCTTCCCAGTGTATGTGCACCAGATAACGCAACTATTTCCTGCAGAAGCAAAAGATATATAAAGCATTGCATGCAAATGTGAGATCAAATAACGACCAAATCTTCTTTGCAGTTAAACTTACCTTATCATTTAATCCCATTCTGTAGAATACATTTCGCAAATGTTCAGCAGGTGAGGGAGGGCCAGCATCTAAAAGTCAGATGAATACTTTAAATCAGTTGCTAACTAAAATTGGAGTGCCATGCAAACACCAGCATATTTTAATATGGAAAAGATAGCAGAATTACACAGCAATCAGTTCTAGATTATGCTTAAGTATCCTAACAACCAAAAATAGGAAGACTTAGAATAAAAGATATCTAAGAAAACAATTTGACCATATACGTTGAGATTTGAACAATATGAAAAAGATACGAACTCAAGACTAAACTACATGGCTCAGCAATAGGTGTCATGATGACAGTGTTATGCCAGCAATAAGCACGGTCATATGGCTTCAAGCATACTGGAAAGAATATATAGACCGTTGATGGACAAGTACACTTGACTCCTAAATGATCAATTTTCAAATTGTCAGCAGACTGAAACCTAAATACTTTTTAGTTCTTCTTTCTATAATAATAGAAGTGCCTAATTATTTCTCGTACAGACACAAGATCTCATGCTTCGAGTTACATGCCTGCCTTCCATGGTATCCAATAACTAACCCTTATTCCACAAAAAACTGTGTAAACGAAGCTAACTTTTATATTAACCAAAGCAAATTCTTCACTTGCATTGGACTGTAACATGGAAGGTTCCTAAGTATCACGCTATTAACCATTTTGATTCCCAAGGAATTATTTATCATGTTGAACTACTTCACAAAAAACTGTGTTATTTTGATTGTTGTAGGCACCAAAAGTAAAAGATATCTTTCCAAAGACTATAAAAGTACATCGTCCACTAACCAGGAAGCCTTCCTTCTTCAGGGCACTGGTCAGGTCCAGAGACATCCACCCTTCCATACTTCATGGGTAATTTGGGGCCGCCAGCTTCCTGAATTTCAAAGCAATAAACAGAATCTTTAGAAAATCAATCATTTCGAAAAATATTGAATTAAAAGCAATGGTTAGTAAAACCTCAATAGCAGTAGCACTGGCCAACTGGAATAAGTCTGCATAAGTGACACCAGAGTATTTGTCCTTTATGGGTTGAATCAGCTGCAATGCGTTCCCAAGACCTGAAATGACAGCTTGTGAGGCGCCAATGTTCCAAACCAAGCTCAATTACACATAATTTCAAACCAATACCAGCATTAGCTGCATGTTTAAGCTCAGCTTCAAATCTAAGACTTCCATTAGCTCCACCCCTTTGTGGCCACTCCTCAATGTTCTTGTTATAAGTACCCGCATCATGCCACCCAAGGCGAACCTGTTACATCATTCACAACAAACTTTAAACCACATGACAGCAATTTCTTCGTCAAAATATAAATTATAGACATCATTGCATGTCATTGGTAACTATTAACATTTTGATGTCTAAAATTATAAGTTTAGTAACAGTAACTATAAAAACACAGCATGGACAAATAATTTAAAAATTAATAATAACAAGCCAAACGGCACTGTTACAGTTCAAGTAATTAAGTTGAGTGACAGCTGAAGTACCAAAATAGGATGGCAAAACTTGGTTTTCAGAAGCTCCTTGATGTCTTCTTTCGCACTCTTCAACTGATCAGGATCCGAAGCCGCACATTTCGGCGATGCTGATGTGCTAAACCCTCGGTTCGTCACATTCACCGACCATCTCTTCTACACTCCAAAGTCAAAGTAAAAGTAAAAATATAAATATAAAGAAAATCATTTTAATTTAATTATTCCGTAAATAAGAAAAGAAATGCTATTGCTATTTGCTAATGCTACCTGGTGAATGAGAGGAGAAGCTCTGAGGTTGAGAGATGAAGTCGAGAAAGAGAATGAGAGAGACGAAGCGGAGGAGAAAGGAAGCTTAGTGGTGGTGGCGGCGGAACGGGATGCGAGGAGGCGGGAAGTGGCGGCGCTCCTCAATGAAGAAGCCATGCTGTCTATTGACGATTGGTGTAATTGTGTCAGTGACAGTCGCTCTGCCATTTGGTTGGTTTCCCTTTCTTTATGGTTCGTTCGCTTCCCTCTCCTCTTGTTTTAGATTACGCGGCCCAATGCTTATGGCACACACGCGCAAGCGCACCAGTCCACAATGGCTTTTTGCTTGTCGTTTGGTAATGCGGTTAGGTCCAGTTCTGTTATTGGATATATTCGTGTCTCCATCTTATCTCCAAGGGCCACTAATCGCCGCTACTAAATACTAACGTGGTTGGTGTTTTTTCATATATTTTAGTTCACCTCACCTGGACACTTCGTTTCAACGCAAGTTAGTCAAAGTCAAACCATTTGTTTTTCATTTTCAAAAGTTGATTTCTATGAAAGTTTTCGTTTCCTCCAAGTATTAGGCTAATGGTATCATCTTTGTTCACATTTCTGTTATTGGAATAATGATAGAGGACAAGGCAAAGTTTGTGAATATTTGGCTAAGATTGTCCATATCTATAAGAGGATTTGGATTTCTAAGGTAGCACAATCTTAGTAACCCAAACAAGAATAAATTGTACCAACCTTAGTAAAATGAACATGAAATATTGTTGATTGAAGTGTTTTATTATTATTATTATTATTTCATAATCAAGATGTCTACGTTAATTTATGCGTACTTCAATTAATCTTTTGAAACCCTAAAGGTTAAAATTATCGATTAAGTAAGAGTTTTGGTGGTTACAACTACCGATCGGGTAAGAATTCTAATTACTATCCCTATTAGCAACTGAGAAGAGACTCGAACTCAAGATCTTTTGAATAATACATTCAAAAGTCTTTTTCGAATCACGCAACCATCCAGAGATAGTTAGGTGTTTAAGTTTACAAACTATGTTTTTGTTACAAAGAAAGGATATTGAATATAAATCTCGTAAAAAATGCATTCTTAATTGAGTAATACTACACATACATCATTTTCCATACAACATTATGTGGCAAGATATGATTGGCTAATTTAAAATTAAAATTAAACTTTCATCCAATCATATCTTGCCACATAATGTTGTATGAGAAATGTTGTATGGGAATGATGTATGTGTAGTATTATTCTTTTTAATTACAGGTGGAAAGATTAATGAGAGAACTTACACGGCCTTGAATTGGCCGACGAGAAAGCCCATGAGCCTTTAATTTACAACATTATGTTGACGAGTATTCGAGCAGTGTTAATATTATTCACCGACTAAACAGCCCTATCTTCTTAAAGAAAAGGTAAAAAAAATTGCAACCGTTTTACTGTCCCAGAAGAACTATGTGTTTTTAATAATTTTCCTGCTCAAAAAATATAAAATTGGAAAAAATCATGGGACAGAACAAAAATGTGCAAAACCTACCCAACCACTTGCTGTATTTTGATTTTTGGGCTTGTAATATTATTCTTTATTATTTTTTAAGGGTTATGTCAATTTAACAATATTATTTATTGTGGTTTTTGGCATTTGTCAATGTGAAAGGGTAATAATAGCTTTTGGACTTGGGTGAAAAAGTTATCGAGACTATGTGTTGTTGCGATTTTTTGCACTAACAAGAAATACGCGAGCCTCATGAGAGAATTCGCACAATAAGCCTACTTGAGACCGTGAAATATGATGCTGAACCCATGGGCAATACTAATAACGATGCAAGTAAATAAATAAGAAGAATAGATAATAGTAGTTTTTAAAATGGTTCGGATGCAAGGTGCAATTCGTACATTCCCTGTTCTTATTAATGTGTTTACAAAATATATTAGCTCTCAAGAGAGAGAACTGCTTTATAGCTATTGAAAGAATAAAAATATGGATCCCTAATTTCAGTTGAGAGACCCCTATTTATAGTGTTGCATAAGTGATCTTGTTCAAAAAGCAACCATTTTATCGCATAACGTGTGGCCTGACAAACCGCCCTAATTAGAGACTTAATAATGAAACGATCTTCTTATAATGTGTCACACGACCTAGGTGATGATTCATCGTGAGTTTTACCGTTGAAGCAAACCATAACAGTTTTGCAGAGGTAGTCACCATTTCTTAATATAAGATGTGGCCCAAAAACTTGTATGGTCACAGGACACTTGTATTTCTACTAAATTAAAACGATATAAATGTAACACATTCACTTTATTCTTCATAACTCCAATTGATAAAAGCACCATGGTCATACTTGGGTTTGAAAAGAAAAGCGAATTGTAATGGAAAAAGGACCATGTTCATATTTAAAATACGCAACAATCTAAGATATAGACAGGAATTTATTATAAAATATTGTGTAAATAATTAAATATGCAATAAAAGTAGATGTTGGTGATCAATCTGCATCTAACTTTGATTTTGCTCACTCAAAGTTACCTACAAATCTCTAGAGTTAATTGGCTGTGAAATATTATTTAAGTGCTCTTGATTCTGAAGAATTACATTAAAGTCTAGTTTAATTTAATTTAAAAGATCCGCAATATTAAATATTTAAATCTGCCTTTTGTAAACATTAATCTATTGAAATTGTACTTAACTGAGGAGATAAGCAAAAATAAATAAAAGTGACGAAAATAGACATGAAAGTATCTTTTAAATATAGAAGTATATAGTATAATTCTCCTCTATTATATTAATCAACATTACAACACCATTTTACGGTTGTATTCTTTAAAAATATCTAATCTAAATCTAATACTGACTTGCGTTTGGTACCACAATCGTGATTTATGTTGATTAAAAATTTAATTAATAAAGTTGAATAAATCAGCCACATATCTAATATAAATTATTAAATTGCAAATCTGTTGAGCATACTAATTAAAATCCTAAAATAATTTATTGATTAATTGATTAATTATATGGACAACTGTCTGACAAGAGTACAAGACAATCTAGTCTGCCCTCACTGAAGACCAAAAGATGGTCTGTTATCATACATAAGGATATGTTTTAATTTAATAGCATGAAAGAAACACTAAACATTATATTGATATCATCGAAAGATAATATTTATCGGATTTTATATATAATAAGTCAAAGAATGATTAATATTTTTCTTAACAATAAATAAGATGTGGGAGAGTGTTTTTCACTAAATGCATAAATATTATGACAAATTCAGAGGACATATTAGTCAATGATATTTAAAATTGAATTGTGAATCTTTACTTTAGAAGTTTAAATACGGTATTATCATGAATAACGTGGTTGGTATACCGGCTGGACAGGTCTCTCAATAGAGCAACCTAACCACAAGGAAATAGAGCACTACACAGGTAGTGTGGGTTTCACTGGACGCAATTCGTTTTTTGCACCATGATGATGTAATGCGTGCGGGGGAATATCGGATATTTGGTTGCGCGCGTGTGTGATTTAATTTTGAGCATGAGGTATGAGAATACATCACCCAATGCGAACACTTCTGAGTCAACGTAGCTGATTGGCTGGATTTCTTTTCTCAATTAGACGCTCAGTTGGGGGCGTAGCGGCGCACGCGCTACCATTATATAATTGAAAATGGAGATATTATGAAATATTTTAAGTTCTACTGCATAATTGAGGCTGGAGTTGTGGGGCAAATTGTTCTCACCATAAAACTTGTTTGTATCGGTAATGTTAATTTTGTTAACTTTCTAGAACATGTGAAATCATTGGCGTTTCTAGAGCATTTTGATACTTAATAAAACTAGTAAGAAATATACTTTGGGATTTATTTGGATATTTATGTTATACGTAAATGATTCATACATTTTACACGAGAATAATATTATATTTATAACCTAGTCATACAATTAAGATAAAAATTATATAAAATTTATGTAAAATAACTATTTTATCCTATGTTTTTTGTTTGTTTTTATGTTTGATTGTATGATTCAGTTATAAACATAACATTATTCTTTTATTTGGCCTTGAAATCAAATAATAGATCTACCCATTTGAATACTTATAAGTTTTTTTTTTAATAAATACTTTGCTCATATCAAATATAAACCATATCTGAAAAAGACTTAGAAATAAAGGCAAAAAGTGTAATAAATAATTATATATATTTTCTAAATTATTAAGTATTTAGATGGATAATCTTACAATGATATAAGAGATATTTGATTACAAACTTACTTCTACAATTACTTTCATGATGCCTATCTTGACATGCGTGCGTCTTAAGCTAGCGGAACAAGATTGGTTGTTCAACTAATTGAAATTAAGTCGTGTTGAATTATAGCATGTATTAGAATGACTATACAATTGAAGCGAAGTCAAGTAAAGTTTATGCCACAAATTTTCATTAAATTATATGACAAGGGATGTGTTGGAAGTAACAGATACAAACTTACTTGAATTATTATTATTATTTTTTAATTTTGGCAAATGGAAGTTAACAAATGGTGGGTTATGGGATAGGTCGTCTCAAGAATATTTGTGACATTAGATAATAGTTACTTTGGAGGTCTAATAGCATATATTAAAAAATTTATTTCAAAGTTATATTTTTTACCTTTTGAGATGTAAAATAATTAGGAGAGGTGGACGACGACCGACGGGCTATAAGGTTAGGTTGGTGGGGTGTTCTGGAGAGCAGATGTTGGAGAAGCGACGGTTGGTGAAATTGATGATTTCCAATGTTAGGATTGACCGGAAAAGACTCGAGAAGTCGTGACCTAAAAGGTATTGGTGGCCGGCAATTGACGGAGTAAACATATGAGGTATGATAGGGTTTTTGGTGAGAGGGCTGAGGGGAGGAAGATAGTGGTGTCGGGGAAGGCCAATAACGTCGGGTACATGTTGAAAAGGCCGGAAATGGCTGTCGCGCGTGGTGGAGTTGGGTTGTGAGATTCGTAAAAAATTGGTCAAATCGAGGGCTATCAAGGCTGGAAAAACACTTGGGAAATGATAAAGTGATGATTCTGGTCGATTTTGGTGAGAAAATCTACTAGAACCAACTCCAAACAGCCAACGGCGAAAGAGGGATGAAGATGATTTATGTGAATGTCGAATTTTGCGATTGAATTGGAGGGGAGTAATTTGAGATATGTAAATGACCATTTTAGCCTTTCATTGTTAAAAGAAATTCAATGTGTTTAATTTATAGGTGTAAATTAGAATATATGAAACTAGAGGTACAAACTTGTTATTTCATCAAGCTTTGGGTGAGAATATATGTAAAAGTTTTTAATAAATTTGTGTCTTTTGGCTTTTTTCTA